GGGTAAGAATACATGTTTACAGTGGAGCAATCTCTTTGCCTTTCTCTTCGTAGCTCATAGCCAAGTCTTTCGGACAAGTGTGCATAATGCCAGTGCCAGAAGCACAGATCTCCCTCATGCGTGTGTAGGGATCGTAGTGCCTAAACAATGCTTAAATTGCAAGGTCAAAATTTCTATATTTATACTCTGGAGCATATCATTCGTACATATCATTCATTCCTACACATCGACACTCTAAAGATTGATTTTGATGTGCCAATAACGATTCCCGCAAAAGGACTCTAGATGATGGATGACAGAAATAAACCCATCTTGAAAAAAATCGTTGGTACAGCATTGTTCAATAGAAGACAGATGATTTCAAGCAAGCGATGCAGAATGATGGGAAAAGTAGCAAGAGACCCAAAACAATGATGATCAGTTAGAGCGAAAACTTGGAAGCGATGAGAGAATTACATATTATGAGATGAAGAATTATTGTAGATTGATAGTACGTCCCAAGAGAAAATAAAAAAGGGAAAAAAGTTTGGAAATGTTTCAACATTTCCAAACTCGAAACGCTCAATTTTAGCCAACAGCTCCTGTACCCTTTTCACTATATCGTAGATTGACAATATGTTCAAAGGAACCACCTAGTGAAGCTGACCCATGACTCGGTATCATCAAGCTCAAGCGCTTGTCAGCTGATTGAAGTAACAGTATGTATAGATCAATCACTGCTTCACGAATACCTATACTTCAGTATCAGATGATTTCTCCAAATCTAGCATCATTCAAAGCAAAACATAGAGGAGAATTTGGGAGTCTCAATGCTAGAGAAAGGCGAAAAGGAGAAAGATATCTCTGGCCCGCCAAAAAGTTCCATAAACTGATACTCATGTATAAAAACAAAAACACGAAAGAAATCGAGAGAGACCAATTTAATGGAACAAAGAGTAATTCTGCGTCAACTTCACATCAAAAGCTGTTTATACATATAATAAGCGAGATGCACAAAAAAGCGATATAAACTTCAAAACCAGATATACAGGTGTTATAATACGAATTTTTAAGTAAAATTAAAATGAATACGCAGAATAAAAGATGACTGAACCCACTTGAAGAACTCCTCGTATTTGTGATGTCGAGGCCAGACATAGAACGCGTTGAATGCAACCACTGATGCTACAGCCGAGGCGAAAGAGAAATAAATGGCACGACGGCCTGTTTTGTGGATCATATTACGCATTACCATGTGTCCAGACATTCTGAAAAAGAAACAACATAGATTTAAATCTGTAAAAAGCAACCTACAACTACTTGAACTCTATTGTCTGCGTTAAGCACGACAACAAAACACTTTAAAAATTCACTTCATTTTAAAATACAAATAACTCCGAAAACCAACTTCCGAGGAAAAACCCAATAATAAGTCAACTCCACCGGAAAATGGACAACTTCCGAATCGTGCCGCCCATCGCGCGGCGGCCGCAGGACTATATTGCAGTATTCGAGCGGAAATTAGCCATAGGTCATGGAATTTTTGCTCGAATTTTCTACCTCGCTCCCTATAATATTTTAAATTTGCTATTCTCCA